TAGCTCAGCAGCCTAAGTGCCTGCTTGGCAAACGCAAGGTCATGAGTTCAATCCCCGGTACCAAAAGAAAAACATCATTTTCCCTTCAGGTCTAACCACTTTAGGTGACCCAGATTATCTTCCCTAATTATTAGCATAAATACTGTAAGGAGGTTTAATGTAGGATACAACTTCAATAATTAATAGTGTCATACAGTAGACAGTCATACAGTAGATTCAGACCTGTAAGTCTGGCACATTTCCAAAAGCATCCTTGGCAACACACTTGAGAAACTTTTTTTTTTGAGATAGGATCTCTGTAGTTCAGGTTGCCCTCTAACTCACAGTGATCCTCCTGCCTCAGCCTCCTGAGTGCTGGAATTACAGGTGTATACCACCAGGCCCAGCCAAATACACATACTTCACTTGTTCTTTGTGAAGCATCTCTATTATGAGTTAACCAAAGAAAGCCAAATACTTATTATTTACTCGTTCTTTGTAAAGCATCTCTCTTATGAGCTCCTCAAATAAAAGGAATTGGACACAATTTTCAAACATTTTATTAGGACCTGGGGATTTAGCTCAGTGGCATAAGCACTTGCCTGGCAAGCACAAGGTCATGAGTTTGATCCCTGGTACCAAAAAAAAAAAAAATTCAATTAAGCTGGATGTGGTGGTGCATACTTGTAATTCTAACACTTGGGAGGCTGAGGCAGGAGGACTGCCATGAGTTCAAAGCCACCCTTGGCTATATAGTGAGTTCAAGCCCAGTCTGGACTATATAAAATGCTGTCTCAAAAAAACAAAACAAAACAAAAAAATGTTTGAATTTGCTACCAGGGACTCATACTTTCTCTTTCAAGTTCATCAGTTAATCTCAAAAACTACTCCAGACAGGCCCACATTTACCAGCTGCTTTCTATTTTGCATTTTATGATTTCACCTGTAAAGGTGATTAATGCTAATCATACTGACTACAGCAACTTCTAACACCATTAGGGAAATCTAGTCTTTGATAATTTATGTCCACAACACAGACAGCTACCACAGATTCAAACTGCACTGGTGCAACCCTGTTCTATATAATTAAGTACTCTCCTGACTTCTCACCCACCGCCCTACCCCTGCCATTAGAAAGTAAACTTTAGCAACTGCTCACAGTGGTACCAAGCAGCAAGTCTCAGTTTCAGGAAACGCTGAGGCAAGAGGATCACCTGAGCTCAGAAGTTCGAGGCCAGCCTGGGCAACAGAACAAGAACACAGTGAGACATGGAAAATTTTAAAAAGAATAATGGATTTTGTGTTTTTGTCTGTTTGCTTTTCTGAGATAGGGTCTAATTCTGTAGTTCAGGCTGGTCTGAAACTCCCTATGTAGCCTCGGGCGGCCCCAAGCTTACCATCCTACTGCCCTGGCCTCCTGAGCACAAGGAGAAGCAAAGCGTTTTTCCCACTTTAGCTTTCCCGTCTTCCTTAGGCTATATGTGCCTAAACTTGAAATGTACTAAATTAGTCTCTTAAACTCTTAGCACATCAAACAGAGCGCAAACACAAGAGGAAAAAGGGAAGTAATCCATACCAAATCCACCTTTCAGAGTTGGGAACAAAGATGATGCCACTGGTTTCTGACTGATAAAAATAAAGACAGAGTCCCTCCTTCAAGAAATAAGACATGAATTCAAAGCCAGGTCATGTGGTGCATGCATGTAATCCCAGCACTCTGGGAGGTAAAAGCAGGAGGATCAAAAATTTAAGCCCAGTCTAGGAAAACTGGAAACTCAGCTAGACACTTTCTCAAAATAACACATTTTTTTGTTATTTTGTTTTCCAAGGCTGTCTCCCTATACAGTTCAACTTTCCATGTAGCGCCATGCTGGCTTCAAATTCATGGTGATCCTCCTGCCTCAGTCTCCCAAGTGCTGGGACTACGGGCGTGTGCTACCAGGCCCAGCAAAACAACACATGTGTAAAATGTAGTTCAGTGTGAAGGCCCTGGGTTCAATCCAAAAAAGAAGAAGTAAAAACAAAACAAAAAACCTCTGAATTCAACACCAAGGTACCATTAAATGTCCTTTGAAAGTTGGTACACATTACTAAAAGGTGTCTCACAGAGCACAATTGGAGTGAAACCTCCTTTAAGTGCAGAGACCAAGCTATCTGTTTCATGTATGCTGAAACATACTGTACCAGCACTCAGCAGATTCAACTTTCAGAAAGCTGTAGATTATGCTACACACTGCACTGTCACTGCCTAGCAGAGGTAGCAGTAAAGTCACAGTGTGCCAAATCTTAAATATAAAGGATGCTGAACAAGTCTGCAGGAACCTGGAGGCCCAGGGAAGCCATCCAGGCAAAGTAACATCTGAACTAAATTTCCAAGGTGACAATATAATGAAATGAAGGAACACTCCAGCAGAGGGAGACAGAGAGAATGAAAAATTTCAAAGAACCCAAAGACGCTCAACACAGGTCAATGAAACACTTTCACAAAAGGTGAGGTAAGAGTAAGAGGCCAAACCAGAGTCCAGTAATGAAGTATCCTGGGTCCACGCTAAGCAGACCTTAGTACTGTACAAACGCAGTCAAAGGCCTGGATGGTTTTAAATGGGAGAGTGCCTGTGAACAGTGTAACAGTTTGAAAAGCTATGGTATGAGCAAACTCATGAAATAAACGAAAAATAAAGAGGTACAATGCAGATGTGGGGAAAAGGACAGGAAAAGTACTGCTGAAAGACTACCACCTTCTCTCACAGCTTGCTTTCACAGAATTACCAAATTATCCTTTTAAAACAGAGAACTCAGAGGAGGCTGAGAATGGCTGGTCCGTGGAATGTAAAAATTGGCACTATGAAGAATTAGAGATTACTAATTTTAATTCAAGAAATTTTAATGTAACATACATTTCAATCTGTTGCAGTATTTTGAGAATACTATTCTATAACTCAATCTTAATTGAGGTTATGAACAAACTACAATGAATTTTAAAGGTTTCACAGAGATCATATTACATTCACTTTGAATCAGAGTAATGCCTTCTCCCTCAGCACCCTCTCCCAAAATTATTTAAGCCAACCTTCCTTCCCTCCTTTCTTTCTTTCCTTTCAGTGCTGGGAATGGCCCTGAACTCCTGGGCTCAAGGAATCCTCACATCTCACCCTCTCAAGTAGCTAGGATGACTGCTGTACAACACCATCGTAGCCAGCTGGATGCTTAATTTTAACACTAAAAACTCGGACTTTTTAAGAAATGACAGTGCTTTGGGTAAATTTATAAAGAACTCCCATGTTGTCCTTCTGCTCCTGTACAAGGACCATTCAGGGGCCTGACACCACAGCCTCTGAGATTCGTTCTCACCTACTTTATAACATCACCTGACCCCATCTCTCATCTCTGAGGAGAGACTTACAGAGTCATGAAACTGGTGAGACCTGTAGAAGAATGGCAGAAGAGTCTGCAGATAAGGGCCCTGTAAATGATAATTGGCATCTCAGGCTCCTTTCTATGCCCCCAACATTATAGATGGGAAAATTAAAATTCAGAAAGGAAAGCGGACTTGCCCAAAGCTATGAAGCCAAGAAGAGAATCTCTTCAGCCTCCTGACAGTCACCATTCCTCTGTTGAGCTGAGCCATTCTTCAGCTAAGTTAAAGAGTCTGTGTAACACTATGTGCAAGTTGCTCGTGTGATTCAAACACGTAGAGACTGACACGGCAACTCTCATGCATTAAGAAACCCAAGCCTGATAGTACAGGTAATTATGAACCTACACAATACTATCACACGAGTCATCTGATCAAATGTACCATGTCAAGTCAGTTATAAAAAGAACTTTTGCTTCAGAGATACCACATGTCAAGAAAACACAACGCAGATACACGTCTTGAAAATTCAAGTCTGGAATAAAAATTTTAATACAAACTCCATCTTGACTACAACTACTACAGTTAGTCTCCATTCACTATACTATTCTAGATACTCTGGTATTTGGGCTGATACCGAAGCACACAGTGATAAAGCTTTTCTATGCTACCATACTCACTGTCTTACTTAAAATGAATGTCAAGGAAACCCTTATTCCTGGGTTATATACACACAGACAAGCATTACATAGCATTCTCCAGGAATCTAAACATGCTAAGAGATCACTTTGTGTAGACTAAATCAAAGGGGAAAATGAGATTTTTATTGAAAAAGTTACTGGATCAGAAAACTCATAGAAAATTTTTATCCACACCAAAATTCTGCATCTTTCACCACATCCTTTTCTGTATTGGTTTGGCTGTTTCACAGCACACACGTATATTTTTTATAACTTGTTTTAATGATTTAAAAAATACAGTCAGCTCTCAGAATCCTTGGCGGATTGATTCCAGGATCCCTGCAGATACCAAAAAGTTTGGATGCTGAAGTCTCTTACACAAAATGCCAAATTTTTGCACATAACCTGCACAAACCTTCAGTACACCTTAAATCCTCTCTAGAGGATTCAACTACTTAATACAAGAAAATGCTATATAAATAGTTGGGTTTTTTTAAAAAAGCATAGTTGTTATACTGTATTGTTAGGTCATTAATGACAAGGAATAAAGTTCATACATGTTCAATACATACTATTTTTTCAAAATTTGGGCATCACTGATTGGGTGAAAGACAACCCACTGAACCTAATTCCTTTGGTATCACCTACATTGGTAAAACTGCAATTCTCTCACCCTAAACTTTCAGAAAACTCTGCTGTTGTCTGCCAAGCCCACATCTCTGAATTCATCAGAAGATGCATCCTCTTGAGTGACAGCACACTTTTGGGCTCTGCAATATTTTTTAAGGAAACCACTATCAATAGTCTGAGATTCTCTTCACAACCATACGACTTTTCTCTGTCGTCAACTGGGTGAATTTATTTTAAAAAATTTTCCTGGCTCTTCCTGTACTTTAGAACAAATTACCAAGGGCATCAACAAATCAAAGCTTCCAACATATGAACAACCACAAGAATTCTTGTTTTTATAAATACGTTAAACCTACCTGGAAGTTGATTTCTTTCCTAGTCATCTCCAGATCAGTTTATCCAAGAATGAACCATGATAGCTTAACCACTTAAACTAGACAGTCACCAAGTTGTTGGAAACACACTGGATTATTCATAGCCAATCTGATATAATCAACCAGATATCAACAATAAAGAGATTTCGCCTGCTTCCAAAATTTCGTCAAGCAAGCCGGGCGCGACCCCTCCACAGCGCCCGCCACACCCCCGGGACTCCCGGCTCGCAGTCCTTCCTCCCCCGCGCTGAGCTTTCGGGACTCCGGAGGAATGCAGTCCTAAACCCAGGCAAGGGACCAGGGCTACGGGGCGGTGGCCCCAGCCTATACGAGGGCGCAAGGAAAGCGAAGTGCGACGGTAGCACACACAGCCTCTTTCTCGGCGCGGAGGCAAATGACCCAGAACCACCTAGAGCCCAACACCCGCCGAAACACCCCACGGTCCCGTAGGTCCACTGGGCAAGAAGTGGGTCGGTCCCAGAGCTCAAGAAAGGGACAGCGCAGGCGCGGACGGGCTGGGGGCCCAGTAGGGAAACGGCGCAGGCGCGGGGCCCGCGGGGTCTGCGGGGCTGCCCGGGCCTGGCCGCGCGGGCGGCGCAGGGGAAATAAACTTATCCGCCGGCGCATGCCGGGGAGAACCCCCCTAGCTCTTACCGCGCAGCACTGCCTCACTCGCTCGTTTCGCGCTGGGACCGGGCAGAGAGGTCGCCCGGTGGCGGGGCCCGGATCCGTTGACTCCGGCCCCAGGGCAGCAACCAACCCCACGGCGCCTCTCGCACGGCCCGCCCAGCCTCCCTCATGGTCCCCGCCTCCAGGCCGCCCCTACCCCGCCCCTCCCGGCCGCCGTTGCTGGCGCAGGCGCCGCACCTGCCCCGCCCACATCCCATCACTACGCAGGCGCCCGTCCCCTCCCTGCTAGTTCGCATCGGGCCTGCACTGGGTAGTGAAGTTTCTCTGGCTCTCCGCCATCGCTCTGCCTGGGAAGGCAATGCGCATGCGTCAGATCTGGCACTGGCCCTTTTAAGATCTGTAGTATAGGAGGGTCTTCTGGGAGCTGTTGCCTGTGCTTACGGAGAGCTGTAATCCCAAATGCTTTCTTTCCTCAGCAAATACTAGGTCCACCCTTTATGCAGCATACATTTGCAGTGTGTCGAGGACCGTGCTGTACCTGAGCCAACTGGTGAAAAAAACGCATAAGCCTTGCTCTCCTGGCTCTCCCAGTACACCAAGGTATACAAAAAGTGAACTACCAAAACAAACAAAAAAGACTCAAAAAAAAAAAAAAAAGCCGAAAAAGACTGGGCGTGTTGGCGCATGCCTGTAATCTCAGCACTGAGGAGGCTGAGACAGGAGAATCGCCCTAAATTCGAGGCCAGCCTGGGCTATATAGGAAGACCCTGTCTCAAAAAAAAGACTTAATGTCCTTTAAAAGTTAAATTTCTATTACGTTGCAAATATATCAGTTCTTTCCTGTTATGATTTGAATCAACATTAGTAGATTTTTCTTGGGGCTGGGGATTTAGCTTAGCGGCATAAACGCCTGCCTTGCAAGCAGGCAGTCTTGAGTTCGATCCCCGGTACCGATAAAAAGGAAAACGACAAAAAAAAAAAAAAATAGATTTTTCTTTACATTCTAGGAAAAGCATAAATTGGTCTTGATATATTGCTAAATTATTTGCTAATATTTTACTTAGCATTTTTCCATGTATGTATATGATTGAACTATATTTTGGATCCCTGTATTATTTATGTGTGGTTTGGTATTAAGTTTATTCTAAATTCTGCTGTATTTGGAAGATAATTAGAACAGAATTTTCTGTTCTTTTTAATGCCTGTTGAGCCATAAAATCATCCAGGCGTGATATTTTTCTTTGGTTTTGTTTTCTGTGATTTTTTTGACGGGATGGAATGCATATTTTAATGTAACATTCCATTTCTTTTTAAAAAATTTTTTGGCATTCAATTTAACAGTCTAAGTCTAGATTGTTTCTTCCTGTGTTTTTTTTTTTTTTTTTTTGCTGTTTTATTTTTGCAGAAAAGTGTCTGTGTCACTGTTATCAAAACTACAGCATAATGTTGTTCATATAATTCCCTTGTGGTTTGGGTTTGGGTTTTGTTTTGGGGTTTTTTTTTTGTCTTTTTCATTTTTATCAGTACCAAGGATCGAACTCACGACTGCCTGCTTGCAAGGCAGGTGCTTATGCCGCTGAGCTAAATCCCCAGCCCCTGTGGTTTGAGTTTTAAATTTTAAAATTTATCTCCATGCATTTCTAACACATTCATATGTTTCAGTATTCAGGAAGTGAGCCAGGTATGGTGATGCATGCCTGTAATCCCAGAACTCAGGGAGGCTGAGGTAGAAGGTTCAAAAGTTTGAGCCCAGCTTGGGTAACTGAATGAGACCTGTCTCAAAATTAAATAAATAGGGCTGGGAATTTAGCTCAGTGCAAGGGCCCCAAATTCAGTTCCCAGTAACACAAAAAACTTTTTTTTTTCCAGAAACCTGGGGATTTAGCTCAGCAGCATAAGCACCTGCCTCGCAAGCACGAGGTTGTTAGTTCGATCTCCAGTACCACAAAAAAAAAAAAAAGAAACCACCATCTGAGCCCAATCCTTCCTCTTGTAGTTTCCCAGATACAGCTAACTATATTCAATTTCTTAATATCCTAGAGATAACTTATAAATATCCAAATAAACGGACACATTATTTTGCTTTTTAAAAAATATGCCTTATGGAGCTGGGGATTTAGCTCAGCGGCGCAAGCGCTTGCCTTGCAAGCAGGCAGTCGTGAGTTCGATCCCTGGTACCCATAAAAATGAAAAAGACAAAAAAAAATATGCCTTATAGTACTACACATACTAATACATAGCTTTCTTTTTTTCTTTTTTTTTTTTTTTTTTTTTTTTTTGGTCTTTTTGAGATAGGATCTTGCTGTGCAGTTTAGGCTGGTTTTGAGCTCACTTTGTAATCCAGGTTGGTTTTGAACTCAAAAGGATCCTCCTGCCTCAGCAGGCGTCCTCCTCCTGCCTCCTGCCTCAGTGGTAGTGCATGCAGCACTACCACGCCCGACTTTTTTTTTTTTTTTTTTAAACACAGTCTCCCTATGCATTCCAGGCTGACCTGGAACTCACTGTGTACCCCAGGTTGTTCTCCAACTTGTGGCATTCTCCTCCCTCAGCCTCCCAAGTAGAGATTACAAGCATGCATCACCATGCCCATTTTAACCTCTAATTTTATAATGACACTTGTTATGGCATAACCTGGATAACCTAGGATGACCATCCATCATAAGATTCTTAACAATCATTTCTACAAAGGCCTTTTTTCCAACTATGGTAACATTTACAGATTCCGTAGATTAGAATCTGTAATCTTTGAGGACCATGACTCAGTCCACTACAAGTATGTGTTGTTCTTGTTTGTTTGTTTGGTTGGTTGGTTATGTTACTAGGGACTGAATTTAGGACCTTTACACTGAGCTACATCCCCAGTCCTTTTCTATTTTGAGACATAGTCTTTCTAAGTCACTAAATTGTCTAGGTTGGTCTTGAACCTCCGATCCTCCTGCCTCAGCCTCCCAGAGTGCTATGATTATAGACATGTGCCCCCACATCTGGTATTTTTTTTCTGCTTTCTTTCACTCAACGTTAGGTCTGAGAGATTCACCCATCTTGTTGCATGTATTTATGACATGACATACTAAATGAGTCTTACTTTTGTTTGCTTTTGGGAAAGCAAACTTTCCCACATACACCTTGTGTGTGTGTGTGTGTGTGTGTGTGTGTGTGTGTGTGTGTGTAGTGTAGTGTAGTGCTGGGCATCTTGAGCATACTAGGCAAGTACTGTACCACTAAAGTATATCCCCAGCCCCCACAGTATTCCATTATATTAATTTATCCTACCATGATTTACCCATTCTCCTGTTGATGATCATTTGGATTGTCCCAGGTGTGAGCTACTGGTATAAAGAGAATTAGAATAAGCAAAACAGATCACTGATGTTTCCATTGGAAAGCTGTACAATCACACATCCTTCTAAACGATCTGATTCTGGGCAGCTGTGTCCCCAACAACACACATACCTGGTGTGATAGTGGGTATTGAACACAGGGCCTTCACACTGAGCTATGTATGTAGTCCTTTTTCTTTTCTTTTATTATTTTAAAAATACTTTTAGAAAGGGTCTTTATGCCCAGGTCTAAGTCACTAAATTGCCTACATTAGGCTTCATTTTTCAATCCTCCTGCCTCAGCCTCCAAAAGTGCTTGGATTGTAGGTTTTTACCACCATGCCTGATTTCTTTGAGCTATTTTACAGAGTTGTGTTACATAGTGATGAAAATGATTCTTACCTAAGGATAACTCCTCCCAGCAATTCAAAAGCCAGTTTTACCTCCATTTGCAGGTTTATTTCAATATTTCCAATCTATAAATATTTGATTTTATAATTCTCCTTTGAAACAATAGTAACATCTTTCCAGTTCCCTCATTTAATTAAGGGGTTACACGAGCCTTTTGACTCATACTTATTTTATATTTGTATGAGAGTTACGATTTTACTTCCTGAAAATTACCTTTAAATCTAGATTTGAAACTCAGAGTGTGTTCCTATCATGCCTGTGGCTCTGGGCTCAATGACCAGCACACACACATGAAATTACCCTAAGTATTAAAAAGCAAACATATGGTAGGGCATGATGGTCCCAACACCAGGGGGGCTGAGGCAGCCCGTATCTGGGCTGCAGCACTGGCATCTGGGGTTCCATCACCCTCATTCAGACCTTGCTCCCCGTCCCCGAGGTATTCATCTACCTCAGCTCCTCAGACTGGAAGAACAGAAAGAACAGGCAGTCAGAGCAGCTGCTAACTATGAGCCAAGAGAGGGCCTGATAAAGGCCCAGTCCTGGGGGAAGCTCGTGGCAACCTAAGCAAGAAACCATCTGTTTGTACGTGAGCGCCTCCCAGGACCCAGTGTCCCGGCATCTGTGTTTGGGATGCAGCCATGAACTCCATTCATGGACTGAGAGTACCCAGCCTTGGGCACTCATGTTTCTCCATCTGTGAGGCCCTTCCCTGCCATCTCACCACTAAGATGGATCAAGATCCACAGCCCAGGCTCCCCTTTATGCCCAGGGCCTCTGGTTTCTCACTGACCTGCTCATCTCATTTTGAGCATTGCATCCTGAGATCCACCAAGATCACTAACCACCTCTCTTGGGCCCAGCTGCCTCCATCTGCAAGCAGCTGGAGGAGCCAGAACCAGCTGCAGGCCAAGTTTTAATCACAAAACAACTGTTCCCAACCATTAGCAAAAGATCAGTTTTGAGCTGAGTGCCAGGACATCGGGCTTGAGATTTTTGACATGCTTCCCTTGGAGCCAGCAGAGCCTAGGTCCTGGGAAACTGCAGCTGTCAGCCAAGCAAGGACCTGTCTGAAAACAGAGATGAGCTGTTTGCCTTCTGCAGCCAAAGTCACCCACTCCATGTACCCAGTGGGTCTGTGGCCTGAAACCAAACAGGCTCCTGGGGTGCTCAGATGGCTGCGGGCTGCACCAAGAAAG